TAAACCTAGGAATTAAAACACCTTATCCTCCAATATTTTGCATAATTAATTTTGCAACAATTACATACAGGAATCAAGGAAGTTAACATTTTTTGGTTACAGGATTTTGATTAATGCTTGCATTGCTTCAAGTTAATAACTATCAAACATAATTAATCTTCAAAACCCAGAGAGTTTAAGTACAGAGCTTAAGTTATAATGACGAAAAACCCTCAATCCTTCATCACCTCTGTCATATTTATGATTGAATATCTTTTGTGCAGTTTGAAGGCTCTCATTGCAAGTACAAATTGCTTGGGGTTGAAATCTGCCATGCAAGGCTGGTGGTCGAAATGAGTCCTTAAGCATTCACAAGTAACAAGCCCTCTGCTCTCACCACACCAGTTGCGGGTGTTCAAACACATATTTCCCTGAGCTGCTGAAAAACACGACTCTCTGAGCAGTTAAATGTTCTTAAGTCTGACAACGTTAATAAATTAGTGCTGGAATTCATGCTGTAGGACATAATCATCTTTGGCACGATGACTGGTTGTGCTAGACTGTGCCATATGTCAAAGAATTACAAGAGCATCAAAATTCTCTCAACTCCAACCGAGCACAATCACAGTCTTCCATTTGAGTAAGAAGAGAGCTTAATCTTAAAGCTTGGATTAAACTAGACTTCCCTTGTCTGACTGAAAGAAGCTTAAAAAATGCCACCTCTCACCTTTTTGCTGCAGGGCTTTTTCTTTGTCTTTGTTTAGAATGTTGCTAAACATTCTAATGGCGCTTTTTATTGTTGTTTAATACATGCATACATACATATATATATTTATATACGTGTAAAACAATCCAAAGATTTTGGCCAATCAGACACAGGCCAATAGTCAGGAAGTTTCTCACCAGGTACTTCTTGAATTTTCAGCACTAATATTTTCAGCCCAGTTATAGTTCTTACTACAACATTTGGATAATGTTTTCTATGATAAAATAATACAAGATAAAACAGCACTAGACGAAAACACATGAAAATTTAGTTCAGAAAGTAATAGCCCTCTTTAGAAATGGCTGTTCTCTGACCTTATTTTGCCAGCCACCAACAAAGGTTAGTCTTAATTTTTTTCCACATAAGAGTTTTAAGGCAACTTATGGTTCACTTCAGGCAAAAAAACCCTCAAAATCACACAATTCCATCTGTCTGAGAGCAATGTGTAGGATGTGCCATGCTGGATGGTTACTGATGCAACTGGAGGTGGTTTCTCCTGTTGCACTCCCTGAATCTCCAACACATCACTTAGACAGCTTTGCCTGTCCTGGTCTCTCCATGTTTAGAAGGAAGAGGTACTCCAGCCTGATCTCTGTATCACTGAACTAAAAAACTAAGTTTTTGTCACTTTTGACAGTGCACTGCTAAGATTTCAGGCAGTTCTTGAGATATTTAAACTCTGCTTGTCATCATATCTCAGCAAGTAAATGAACTAACAGATGATCAACTTAAATATGCTCTGCCTATTCACAAAACGAAAATGGACACCATTTGGGAGGAAGAAAACAAACAGAAGTGGCACTGCAGTTTATTGGTCTGCTTTTGTCTAAGGCAAGAAATAATTACTCTCATTTAATAGGGTTAATTTAATTAATTTAAATCACCTCAGCGTTTTGAAGACCACTATCTGCAGTGTCATGAAAAGAGAGGGAAACAGTTTTGTCTATTTGCGTATTCTATAAATCAACCCAATTCAATTCTGTCATTATAGACAGAATCCTACCTACTTTTTCCTTCTGAAATTAGACTAGAACAAGGGACCTCCTCATTTTAGGACAGCAATGAAGATAACAAGCCAAGAACAGAGTAAGATTTGAAAGTAGCAATTTCATACTTATGTCTTTGGGAGCATAATTGATAAGGAAAATAAATTTAGGTAGTGCTCAGTAACCATGTTTTGCGGTCACAGTCTTTCACATATGTTGTCTTACATAATGAGGTTTCCTAAATAGTTACTGGGGAAAGAATCAGGCAAAGTTCTCAATTCTTAATTTGAAATAGATTAGTTTGTGACAAGATGAAGTTTGGAAACAAAACATTCGACCCAAATGCATAAACTTTCATTTCAATATTCACAAGACAAAAAAAAAAAATATCTCTGAATATACCATTCCTTTCTTTTTTCTATATATATGAAATGTATTTTGCATAAATAGGATATTCATTGCACATTACTTTTCTTTTTCCTCCAAGTAGAGAAAATGGAATCACTTTCACACAGAACAGGCAAAACCCTCTTTTGCTGTCATCATGCATCAAATTATTTTGGTTATGTTATTTTTAGTTGTTTCAAACAAAACATCCAAACTTCACTTCTGTAAACTGTTAAAGAAGTTTGAAGTCCATGTAACTTGAGTTAATAACCTAAGTATAAATAAATATATTCTTCCATATTTGTGTAAAATAGGTCTACAGGTCTTTTTCTTTCTACTATAATTACTTATTTGTTTAAACTAGAATTTAAGATATCCTGATTTCCTATATTTTTATGGTAATAACTGCTTTGATAATACCAAGCACATTATTTATAAGCCTAGTGAATCTGAACGTGAAAGCATTCGGTTCTTCACAAGACACAGTCATTATCACTAATCAACACTGGCACTGGGAAAACTTCAAAATGCACAAAAATACTTCTCTGACATTTTAAGCCTATCAAAGGAACACCGTAGCTTCATGATTTTTAGATAAAACTTCCTTCCTGTGATTTTTATTTAGGAATTTTCTATTGAAGGATTGTATCAAATTGCTTCCAAAAAAAGGCAATTAATGCAGTATCAACTCTTTCTCTCCAGTGTGAAATAAAACATGCAGCTTTAGAGAAGAAAGAATAATGCTAGCATTAATATTTCTCTCACTCCTGAAGGTTTCTCATTAGTTCCTTTGTGCTCAATTTTATATCATAGATTCATAGAATCACAGAATAATTTAGGTTGGAAAAGACCCTTAAAGATCATTAGGTTTGACTGTTAAACCAGCACTGCCAAGTCCACCACTAAACCATGTCCCCAAGTGCAACATCTACATGCCATTTAAATACCTCCAGAGATGGTGACTCCAGCACTTCCACAGGCAGCCTGTTCCAATGCTTTTGGTGAAGAAATGTTTCCTAATATCTGATCTAAATCTCCTGTGGTGCAACTTGAACACATTTTCTCTCATCCTGGTGCTACTAACCTGGGAGAGGAGACCGTGCCCCATCTGGCTACAATCTCCTCCAGCTGCTGTCAACCAGCAGCCCCAGGTCCTTTTCCCTTGGGCAGCTTTCCAGCCACTCTGCCCCCAGCCTGTAGCACTGCAGGGGGTGGTTGTGACCCCGGTGCAAGACACAGCACTTGGCCTGGTTGAGTCTCACACAATTGCCCTCAGCCCATGGATCCAGCCTGCCCAGATCCCTCTGCAGAGCCTTCCTGCCCTGCAGCAGATCGACACTCCAGCCCAACTTTGTGTCACCTGCAAAATGACTGGGGGTGCACTCGATCCTCTTATCTATGTCAACAATGAACATATTAAAGAGGGCTGTCCCCAGTACTGACCCTGGGAACACCACTTGTGACCAAACATCAACCGGATTTAGCTCCATTCACCACCACTCTCTGGGCCCAGCCTTCCAGCCAGATTTTTTACCCAGTGAAGAGTGCACTTGTCCAAGCCATGATCAGCCAGTTTCCCCAGGAGAATGCTGTGGGAGACAGTGTCAAAGGCTTTACTACCATCCAGGTAATTCAACATCTCATTGTTTCCTTCATTTACTAATGAAGTAATCTCCTCATAGGAGGAGATGAGGTTAGTCAAGCAGGACCTGCCTTTCATAAGACCATGCTAATTGGATCTTTTCCCCTGGTTGTCCTGCATGTGCCACATGATAGCACATAAGATGACCTGCACCATGACCTTACCCAGCACCAAGGTCAGGTTGACAGCCCTGTAGTTCCTCATAACTACCTTCCAGCTCTTCTTGTAGATGGGTGACACATTTACTAACCCCCAGAGTCCTGGGACCTTCCCAGTTGGCCAGGACTGCTGGTAAGTGATTGAAAGCAGCTCAGTGAGCACTATTCCCAGCTCCCTCAGTAGCCTTGGGTGGATCCCATTTGACCCTACAGAACTGTGTCTAAGTGGTGTAGCAGGTCACTGACCATTTTCTCTTGGATTATGGGGGCTTCATTCTGCTCCACATTCCTGTCTTCCAGCTCAGGGGGTTGCATACCTAGGGAACAACTGGTCTTACTATTAAAGACTGAGGCAAAGAAATCTTTAACCACCTCAACATTTTTCCCATCTTTTATCACTACGTTTCCCCTGTGTCCAATAAGAGATGGAAGTTCTCCTTACCCCTCTGTTACACTCTGGTCCAGAAGCTTCAAACTCTTACCTGGTGTGCACCTTGGATTTCAAAAGATTTCATCCACATGAACTCTTGCAAATTCTTTGATTCTTTGATACCTCGAGTTCACATCTGGAGAAAAAAATACACATTTTTTCTCTAGGAGATTTCTTTTAATTTGGTGAGAAAACAGGTGTTTTGGCAAAAAGGGTTTTACAGAAATAACACGCAACTTCCCAAAAGCATTACTACAGATTACTGAGACTAGCAAGACATAGCAATAAGGGAACCTCTGTTACACCCAGCAAACACAAACTCCATGCATCTTAAGCGAGATACTTGCAACTTAGGTGAAATACAGAAAATAGGTGTTTAAATTGCCCACAGGAGTAAAGGAAGAGAGATTAAGAGAAAAAAAAAACAGAGGCAGAAAGAAAGGAGAGAGGTATATTTCCCACTCTGGAGGTCACACATTGACAGGTAGGAGGGCAGAGGCCAAGGGGAGATAGAGACCAAATATCTTTGTGTATAGAGTCTGGCCGCTCCCCCTAGGCGGGACCTTGGGCTCCCTGCCACTCACTGTCCCCCCAGGCAAAGTGAGCAGTGCCACAGCCACCCAGAGGCTCTGGGGGAGTGCTGTGGGCAGGCCCCCAGGCGGCCTTATTGACTGACAGCCGAGCCCCATGGCTTTCCCTGCCATGTGCTCTGCATGGGCACAGCCGGGGTGGCTCCAAACCTAAGCCTGGCCCTTCTTCCCCCCACCCAGCACACACAGGCAACATGGTTTATTCAACCCACCAGTCAAACAATCTGTTGAGATATGAATCCCATCTCTGACACACTCCTTTTGTGCCTAATGTATTTATAAAAGCATTTGGTTTTGTCGTTTATGGCAGTAGCCAGATTAGGTTTTCCTTGGGCTTTGGCCCTTCTGATTTTCTCCGTGCATACTCTCACAACATCCTTGCAGTCCTCCTGAGTTGCCTGCCCCTTCTTCCAAAGGTCATTATTTATTTTTTTTTTATCCTTGAGTTCCATCTGAAGTACTCTGTGTAGCCAGGCCAGTCTTCCATTTGAGGCAAGAATAGAGCTTAATCCTAGAGCTTGGATTAAACTGGACTTCCCTTGTCTGACTGAAATAAGCTTACATTTTGGCGCATGGGCATGGCCTTTTTCTGAGTCTGTGAGACTTCCTTCCTGAAAAATATCATAATACTCATCATAATACTTACGAGGTGATGGTAGGAACACAAAGCATTTAAGAGACAGACACCATTACCTCTTATTTCAAATTATTGCATTTTGATTCTGAAGGGAAAATTAGGATGTGTTATTAAAAACATGGATTTCTTTTACCTATAACTCTCTGTCTCCTAGCATGCTTCCTATGGCAGATAAAGCATTGATAGTCAAATATTAAATGGATATACGTTGCACCTGAAGTTCATACATCTGAGTTATTAAGTTAGGAGGAAATAAAAGCAGTTAACAAAAATAACATTTGAAATAATAGGTTGATTCAGAATCTCTGCCTCCATTTGTGAAGGGGATAAATAGGTACTGGTTTTACTTGTAAAGTTGTGTATCCAGGTCTGGGAAGTCATTTTTACTTAAGTCAGTCATACCAACCTCCATTTGTGTTCAAAGGGACTCAACTCAGTAGATTCCTTCAAGGGATAAAGTTCTTGGAATATTAAGATATAAGCACATTCACAAAAAAATCTTTCTTATTCCTTTATCAGGTACAATTTGGCATTTTTAAGTACTTGCTTGCACAGTACCAAAGAGGGCAATTTTCAGTTACTATCTCAGGCTATAAGTGTATAGAGATAAGCTATTTTTTCTGCCTTTCAATTTGTGGGCTTGCTCAGAGATTTGAAAGAGCTGCAACAGGTAGATAATTTCTACCTGTTTTACATAGTAAACTAAAATAATGGAGAGTCTTCTGTAGCTGATTAGTTCAGGAAAGAAAAGCAGGAATTTTTCAAAAAACAGAAAAATTTGACTTGTATTATATTTTTTAAAGGAAGATAGAAGAAAATAACAATATTGCAATGGCAGCATTGTTCCAAGAGGGAAAACAAAAAACAACCCTTGGATAGAAGTGGGGGCTCTATTCTTTTGGATTCACAGAAATAAAAATGCATGTTCTTCTCTAACTAGTAAAATGAAAAACGTATAAAAATATTTTTATTGAAACTCATCTGTTTGCTTTAAGTTGTATGCAGGTGAGTGCTTTTTTGTGGTTTGTTTTTCTTTTTTTTTAAATAAATGTTTGCTTTCATCGAGCATTAAGGGCTTCTGTGGTTTAGAATTCCACCCATGTTACTATCACTTGTATCTAGTCAAGGCATATAGAATAAGCAATGCCTCATTATAACTCCATTTCTGAATGATGTATTAATGGCTGCCATAAATGTGACAGAAATACATTAAGGATAGTTTTGTTTAAATTTGAAAAGCTGGAATCAGAAACGCGCTTTAGAAACTGCTCACACCTTACAAATCAGAAGTATTTTCTGAAGCCTGACCCATGTGTTCCTAAGGCACTGGTTTCAAAGAAAGTTAAACTACTTTTCCCTTTAGGAATTAGTTTTAGAAACTTTGGGAAAACTACTGAGACTTAAATTTGAAAATTATATCCAGATTTTGTGAAGACAGGTCATTACTTAATTGTGCATCTCTAGATTTCATGTTATTCCCGCATATAATGATAAGCACAGACACAGTTCTAGAGTTTATAATTGATTCAAGCATTTAACCTTAAAGACCTTGGCCAGATTTGAATACATGTCCCAATTACATACACGATATTAAATTTAGGATTTCATTACATTATGCATGATACTATTTTACTGTATCATATAAAATGGAACATCTACATCAAATTTTGCTGAATTTAAAATGAGGCAGGTACATTGTATTGGTCATTATAACATTATTACATTAAAAAAAATAAAAAATCAAGATTCTGACCTGTTAATCTGTTAAAAGCCAAACATGTCTCTTCATACTCTTAGTTTTAACCCTCTTGGACATCTTGTCCTATAGTCTGTCTTCCTCGTTGCCTACAGTTTCTTTGCCTCTCCATTTATGAAGTTGATTTGCTGTCAGAATATTCACTTGATTCTCTTTCAGACCTTGTAACAACCAGGGAAATACCACCTCATTGCTAGTCAAACAACAAAACACTAGGAAAGAGCCACCCAACAGCTGCAATCCTAGAGATGGACTGCCCTCATATACACTGTGTATGCTCTTAACCCCACAGTCTCTCCTAGAGTAACATTAGCACACATGCATGAGGAATAAGTTGGATGCTAAGTATTTTTATCATTAAGAAATTCAAAGTCTGTTACATCCATTTGGTTGCAAGAATGTAATTTTCGCTAGGTTTTATGTCTAGTTATTTGTAAATATCAAATATCAGCATCCCCAAATTAAGTGTTTAAGAATAATCACTACCAGTCATATACTCCAGTTTAATGAGACCTCATAAAGCAATAACTACCTACATTCAAAACCAAAGACAGACAAGGATGTGTATATATATTCAATCTATTTCTGCACTTATTAGCAAGTAGAAATAAGCTCATGAATATATGACAAAGACAGCACTTTCCAGAGGTGTCCAAGTCCTTAAACAGAAAAGGGTATCCTTTCTTTAATGGTAAACTGTGTTAAAGCATTTAAATGACATGCACAATGCATAAGGAAATTCAGGTACCGAAAACACGTTGAGAACATTTCTTACCTTCGGTGTTTCCTTTTGCTTTCTTGGGCATCTAAAACACAACCCTCATCCTGATGTTGTAGTTTACCAGCACTTCTAATCCACTCCATATGTGAAGCTGCAACCAGGAGTCTATGTCTGTCCAAAATTCAGACGGATAAACAGACCTTTAGAGAATGGTTTATTTTAGAAGGCAGCCAAAGAACACATTAGTGTCACCTCTGACCTTTATATGAAGTAGCCTGAAGAAGCGAAAAGTTACTTCGCATGCTTTCCTTTCACCACCATCTCTCATGTTGACCTTTCAGCAGTCCTGTCACAGTAGGAAGATCCAGGGAAGGCTAAGCTGAAGACACAATCCATACTGTTTCTTTCAATAAGCAGCAAGAAGAAACTATTAACAAAATTAGATTGCAAGCACAATAAAGGAGAGCATACTATCACAGACTGGTAATAGATATTGTTTCCGGTTTGGCAGGATTATGTTCTATCTTTTGCCAAAGGCTGCTGAGGCAGGTGGAATTACAGATGCAGAAACTAAAGTCCTGCTCATCATGGGGTCTTCTTTCTTGATTTATCTGTTCTACAGGACCTCAGCTTCAATTTCAATCAAGGTTATAATTTAGGGCTTAGATTTGGGAGATATAAATAGAAGTTCTAAATCCTACACTCTTATTCCAATGCACCTGTTATAAATTAAACAGACAAAAGTCCTAAGCTTTAGCATAGTGACTTATCCTTGGAGAGACTCAAAACCCAGCTATGTCCTCAGCAGCCTTCTCTAGGTAATCATGCTTAGAGATGCTCCAGATTTCCCCTCCAAAATCAACCATTCTGTGAATTTACTTACCGCCTTCTTGTCAGAGCAAGCAAAAAGTTTCAGCAACCACAATAAAACCAGTGGACAATCAACCAGCCTGTCCTTTCTGCTTGCAAAGTAAATTCCAAGATAAGCTCAACCAATGACCATTGTCCTTCCCTGGCTCTGAACCTGTCTCTTGGACAGCATATTCAAGTTTGCTTCCCAGTACTGTGGTATCACTCACCCTGTGTGTGAAGGTCACAGCACAGAACACACATGCAGTATTTGCTGGGCTTCTAATTTATTTAAACATATTTATGAAGATAATCCTTTACATGTGATTGCTGAGTGTGCAGAAGGAATATAGGATGAAGAAAAATTCAGAAAGCAGTGTTCCCAAAAAAGGGGAAGAATGGCCTGATACTGCTAAGCATAAACACTGATAACATGCATTACCTATAACCAAGTGGCAATGCAGGAACAATTCTCCCTTCTTTCTTTCTTCCCATGCCTGAAGAGGATGTAACTGCTTTTTATATTTTATCATTTTTTCTGTGCTTCCATCAAAAATGTGGTATTTCACATATTTGTTATTTTCTTTGCTGTTCCCTAGAAACACTTTGGCACATCTTGAACTTACATTCTTTTAATGACCAGTAATTTACCATTTGTGGTTTAGGTTTGTACTCTTGGTGCTGCTGATATTGTCCTGAACTTGTGCTCTCAAGGCTTTTGCTATCATCCTGTGGCTGTGCTCTCATCAGACCTTGCTATAGCATGAATGAGAGGTGAACTCCTGATTTTCAGCCAATTTCTCCTCCTTACTTTATGACTTGGTTTAGTTGACAAGGCGCTGTTTGGTCAAAGGTTGGACTCAATGATCTTGCAGCTCTCTTCCAACCCTAATGATTCTATGACTGTGAGGCACATTTCCCAAAGCACCTGAGGAATGGCAGCTCACAGCTTCTTACAGTAAGAACACAGAGTAAGGGGGAGAACTCCACTTTCCTACAAAATCAACCCTTCTAATTTATGCTGTTGTACTTAGAGTTGAAATAGCAGTGTCAAGTACTAACTCACCCATAACTAGGAACTGTCCATTGCCTAATTGGTATTGGTAATAAAGATTAACTCAATTCACTAGAGATATCACAGTGATTGTGACAGACTCCAGAGCCAAGGTAATGGAAACCACAGTCTGGTTTTACAATATAAAAACTCTTAATGCTTCACAGGTCAGATATTACTTCTAATCCATCTTCCAAATGTTGTAAAAATGTTTATATTGATGGCCAAAACATGTTCCTCCCTAATACACATTTAATTGAGTTATGTAAGTCATACACCAATAACAGATGCTTTTATCCCATTTTGTAGAATCACAGAATGCCTTGGGTTAGAAGGGACCTTAAAAGTTATCTACTTTCAACTCCTCTGCTGTGGGCATGGACACCTTCCACTAGACCAGGTGGCTCAGAGCTCCATCCAACCTGGCCTTAAACACTTCCAGGGATGGGGCAGCCACAGTTTCTCTGGGCCATGTGTTCCAATGCCTCACCAGCCTCACAGTAAAGAATTTCTTCCTAATACCTAATCTAAACCCACTCAGTTTGAAGCCATTCCCACTTGTCCTGTCACTCCAGGCTCTTGTAAATAGTCTCTCTCCTTTTTTTCCTGTAGGCTCCCTCCAGGTACTAGAAGGCCTCAAATAGGTCACCCCAGAGCCTCCTCTTTTCCAGACTGAACAAACCCAATTCTCTTAGACTGTCTTTTTTTTTTTTCCCCTTTCATCTAAGAGCTACTCTCACAAGTTCAAGCCCCACACCACTAGCCAGCCTAGTTAGTAAATCCTAGTAGCACAGGCGCATGAAAATAATCGTTGATGGTCAGCTCTGCGGGCAGAGAGTGTTTGTGAACACACCAAACCAGAAGAGCTCACCTTGTACAGACCCCTGCACCACAAAGTGCCTTTAAATAAGAAAATGGTTGTGCCAATTACCTGCTGGGACCTCTACACACCCGAGTTCTGACTAAGCCCCAGTTTAAAAGTGTGCTGCTGTTAAAAGACTGGCCAGTAATATATTTGTAATGTCGAATAGCAAGTCTCATGTATTAAGAGACTTACAATCTCCTTACTGCACAATGTAGTAGTGTGATTCAGATTAAGATATCTTTAGCACATCATTACAAGAACTGTCTAGCAGTTCCTTTCTTCTCACAACAGCTACAACATAACATATAGTAGTCTAGTTTCCCAATATGATTTTTTAGCTTGTATTCTTTGCCTGTATATCTTTATGTAAAAAACCCTCACGTTTTCTTTGATTGCTCTGCTTTCGCTAAATTGGGATGCCTTGCAGAGAGTCTTGGGAAAAATAATGCTCCTTGATTAAATACTTTTAAGATTCATAAATAATTATTGTCACAATGAACACATTATAGATCAGAAATTACCATCATGTAATATCTCAGCCTATGCATTGTACTCCACACAGTATGGAACAGATCATGTCCTAAAAGTGAAATTATGTTATTAATGGGAGAAGATTAGAGACAGTGAAAAGACTGGGGCTTAACCCTGAAAATAACTTTTTCATCATTTCTCAGGAAGGAGATTCTACTCACTCTGAAATTAAAAATAGATTGACTTCAGCATTAAGAGGATCAAGCACTAATAAACAAATCAATATATCCACCTACCCTTTCAGTTCTCCCTTATTCTCAGCTTTAGAAAAAATCTGATCCAATTTGAACACAGAAGCACAAATCACTGCAATGTATCATGTACCTTTTGTTGCTCAGAAAGAGCACCACACACTCAATTTCCCATTTTTGAGATACAAGAACACACAAGTGTTGTTCTAAACAAACACATTCCTGTGCCAGATACTGTATAACACTATGAAACAAACCTGAACTCAGCTACCCAAACAGGTTTTACAGGTGAGATAGTCTGGATAGAATCAGGAATCAAAAGGAATTGAGACATAAGTGAATATAGGTTAAAGTAACAGAATAAATTAGTCAGAATAAAGCAGTGTGAAACTACTGATAGCAAAGAGAATATGAGCACCAGGGGTATCAAGGCTGAAATCTTGTGCAACTTGAATTGGCTTATGCTTGTTCAAAAATTCTGAATATCATCCTCAGTGTATTTATCAATAAACTGAACAGATTCAGATCTTGTTACCCGCGCTTAAGATACATATATTAAATTCTTGTGATATCTGTTTTAAGAATTATTTAATCCATTAAATACAACACAAAAAAGTTAGTTAAGTCTTAATATGGACTACATAAGCTTTTGATTGCCTCTTCAAACAAACTCTAACAGGATACTTTACAGTCGATGTATCCTCCTTGTTAGCACATAGCATTGATATGTACTACAGCATTATGCATGAAAATACTTAAGTATATTTAAAGTAGAAGTAGGTCGTTATGTTTTATTGGAAAAACACCTGTTTCTTCTCTTCTTCATGACCCACTTACTTTATAAAATTATTATCAAATACTCTGATTTTCTACTAAGATTCTAGATGCTCATAACTCACGTAGCTTGTGTACAATTTAAAAACTTTAATAACCTGTTCCATCATGAACATGAAATCTAAACATTTTACGTGTCCATACATCAGTGTAATCATTAGATAATAGTGCTTTAGTACTGTATTATTGATTGACAGAAAGCAATATAAGAAATGAGATAATAATAAAGGATAATTTGTTCCTGAATGCAGTTTACAATGTAGCAGAACCTTGCTTTGATTATTGTAAGAATAGCTTGCCTCTCCCTAGTAAGACGCAATGCAGTGATATCATTCCCACAAGGAACACAAAAGACATCCATGTTCTCCATATTGTCCTGGTTCACATGTGAACAAAAGACCAGAATGCTAGCTGCATTTATAGCACAACATGCAGAAAAGAGTAACAAGAAGTACACAACATTTTAAAAGTCACACACAGAAGCACCAAGGTGAGTTCAGGTACTCCGGGCTTTAGGCGAAATCCAGTAGAATTACTTCTATTACATACAGACACATGTATACACATACACACATATGCAGGTATGGATGTATGCATATGCACACTATGGGCATTCTAATCATCAGATCTGATCTTCCATCATCACAGACAGTCATTTATCGTGACTAGTCTGGAGTCTACGAGGAACCTCCGTAATCTGTATTTTTTTGTCCTCCCTAAAGTCTCTTTCTTAGGATTCTTTAGTATTTTTACTTAAGAAATGACAGCAATGAGGTTTCTGTCATTTACTCATGCTTTCTGATTCATAACCTTTTTAACTCTGAAGAAGGTGAGGTTAGTACAGAAGTTCTGACAGCTGTTAGTGGGTAGGGAGGTTTAGGGCTTGTGATATTGAGCAGATACTCTATATTACCTGTGACAGAGAAAGTATTCTGAGGGGGAAAAAAATAAACATCTATATCTTTTTGTTAATATCTATCTACTTTGAACATCTAGAAATTTTACACTGTAAGGACTTCATGTCAGAGTAGTTAAAGGCTTTCTTTGAGCCCCTG